CAAAAATAAAATACTTAAATAAAAAACCACATTTGAAATGTATGGTTATTTTCATACCACATCTTTCTCAATCAAACCCTTCCTTTCTCTAATTTCTGTAAACCTTTTTATACTCTGCAACATGAAATTGCAATAAATATAAAAACCTCTTTTGGGTGATAGAAGTTGGAGGGCAAAATAGTCATTTACCTGCAATTGGTTTTTGATAGTCATGTATTCTAATGTTTTAACTGAGACAACATACTGCCTCTTTGTAAGAATGCATAAACCTGGAATTGAACAGATTTTAGTTAAAATTAGCCAAAAGGGGCAATGTGTAATCTCAACAAAATATAAAAAAAACCTCATTTTGCCCCTATAGAATATTCTCTGTTTTAAAGCATCTGGATCCATGACTAAGCCTTCATAATCAAAAAAAAGCTTGACCACTGTATAGCATAAATAGCATTTTTTTTAAAAAAAAAAAATTTATACGAGTATAAGCAAGGTTCATTAGTTTTTACACATAGAAGGCATGTGCTTTATTCTTTATCCATAATAGGAGCATATTTTCAGAGAATCTTTTCGGGGATTAGGGTATAGTTATGCTCCTTAAATGTATGACAGACAAGCAAGACACTCCCAGACTCCTCCACTGTAGAAGTAAAGAGAAGGGAATGATAGACCTGAAATCAATAGAACACATTTAAAAAAAAAATTGATAAACATATTTTCAGAGAATGCTATAATCGGGTAGACATCATCTAAAAGTATAATGTTGTAATAAGAAAATAGCTAAAAGTAGCATGCTATAATTGGGAAAAAAACCACACACCACACCTAATTGAGAATCAATAAGCCTTGCTGATTGAAAAATACATAAATTGGACTAATTGGAAAACAAAATGATCTTCTATTAAAGTATTAAGATATATGATGATAAGGTAACAAAAATTGCAATACCTGATCCCATTTCCTGTATAGATCACCACCAGAAAGAATGAGATGAAATCCATACTTTCTTAACATAATTCGTTTGGCTAAAAACTCTCTAAATTGTCACATTAGTAGTGTAGTGTAGTTTGTGAGGGTAGAAGAGTAAATTTTACTTAATTGTATCAGAATCCACTGGAAACAGAAGATCCATCGTTTTCTTTGAAGTAGTTGTGCAATGAGCTGCCATATCAAAACGATAATAGACATGTTCGAAACCACAACTAACAAATCGGAATCGCGGATTCCGACAGAGTTGGAATTCGAGATTCCATTTCATGACGTGTTTGGTTGATGATTGGGACGGAATTTAGTTCTGGTCGATTTTCTTGAAATTCCATTTTTAGTAATCGCTTCACAGCCAAGAATTGGTTGAAAATTAACCCTGTCAAATTCCTTTTCTACCATTCATGAGGGCAGGTGGTTTCAATTTCATTACTCTTTTTTTTATTAAATGACCAAAATACCCTCCATCACGGTTGAAATTTGGACCTAATCTTTCCAATAAAAAAAAAAAGCACCAGAAAGTTTGTGATTCATCTTTCGTGATGAATAATGATATTGGAGAGAGACCACTCAAGCCCTGTGATAAAAAAAAATTGTTTCTTACATATATTAGCAAAAAAAAAAAAAAAAAAAAAAAAAACAAATAATTAACAATCAAATTTAGTTTTTTTGCAATGTTCGTCCCTGGCACTAATGGTGTAAAAAAAATGTTTAAATAAAATGACAGATTAGTTTTAAGTAAAATGACTTTTTACCCTTATCTTCATCTTCTCAATCTCCTTCATCTTAAATCATAAAAACCTAACTAAATTCACTCAAAACCCAAAAAATTAAAACAAAATCAAGATCCATGGTCTTTTTTTTTCCAATTTGTTGGTACCCTGGATCTTAATTTTGTTTTAGTTTTAGTTTTAATATTTGGGTTTTGGTTTGATTGGAGTTTCAGATGGAGATTGAGGAATTTTTAGGTTTAGGGGGTGAAGGAGAAAAAGATGGGGACAAAATAGTCATTTCAATTGAATTTCACAGACATTTTGTAACAGTGTCAGTTCCAGGGAAAAACCTTGCAACAAAACTACACTTTATCAGCCACTTGTGCAACAAAAAGAAATATCTAGATGAAAACCATAACTTTTGAAATATCACAAGGACGAAACTGTAATTTACTCTATAAATAATAATAGTGGCATGCTACCTAGCAATAACCAAGATGAAAGTTGTAGAGCAATTAAGTCAACAATAATATATCATGCATTTGGATTATCATCACCCCCTCTCATAGAACAACAATGAGTTGTCAAGTCCTTTTACCTTAAAAACAAAAATAATTATTTTTGGTAGCCATTTCATGAGGTCGGTGATCTTTGGAAGCCCAATTATGTCTTCTTTCATTCTGACCTTGACTTTGACAATGACCCATAACAAAAAAAAAAAAGACTTTGGCTTTAGCCATGATGGTATATTTACCGAATGAAGACAAAGTTATTCACAAGATATACATTCGTGTCTTCGGATGATCATAAATAACAATTATGCTGCTTTTGAAATGAAAGAGATGAGTTTTGTTGAGGTTATAGTTAACAGTTATGCTGCTTGAACATAGAAACGAAAGAGAAGAAGAAGAAGAAGACGGGGGCAAAATGGTCATGTATAAATATCTAACATCTGTGCTGTTAAAGTTATTATGCACCATGAAACGAGTAGCGTATTTTCAAAAAGATTATTATGTTTTTTAGGGAGTTAGGGTTTAATTTGGCTCCTTCAACATATATGATAATTAAAGAGAGAAATTTTGTTGAAAGGGATGAAGATGACAGGGACAAAATGGTCATTTTCATTATTAATTTACCATCTAGGTGACCACCCAGGTACCAAAAGCGTTATGAAACCTTGAAATAAGGACCAAAGATTCCCTTTTGGACCTAAACCACCAACCTGACAATACGAACATGCATGCTGTTTAACTGTAGCAAGACTCCTCCACTATACAAGTAAAGAGAAGTGAATGTTAGACCAAAAAATACATATCAAAAATTCAAAAAAAACTACTATCTGTTAGTACTTATAATCTCCATTTCAGTGAGTAAAAAGAACAACATGGAAATTTTAACAACTGGACCACAATAATTACATGTGTACATAGGGGGAAGGGGGTTTCATGGAACCTCCAATAACAGCAAGAGAAAGACCACTGATATAGACAAGAAAGCATCACTTAATTATGAATTTGACATTAATAACTTTTTAATTAAGTGAACTTCTTAACATAAAAAAATAGATTGAATTCTTTGCTAAAAGAAACCATTTTTTTATCAAGTCAATCATAGATATAGACACAAATCCAGAAAATATAAGACGTCATTCACTTTATCAGTGCAGCACTTATTAAAAATAAATAAAAAAAATAAAAGAGGGTTATTTGCCTTATATCAGGAACAATACACAATCTGATATGATATAAGCTTTTTTCCAAAATCAGTTGGATATGCTAAATATCAAACCCATCAGATGTAATATATCAGGAAAAATTAAAACCATAAATTTACAAAACCATGTAATAGAAACAATGGACTTTAAAAACTTACATGTAACAGGATGATCAAAGGCTTCATGGTCTGAGAAGGATAAACTGTAGCAACCTGACAATAAGAACATGTTCAAGAATGAGAAATAAATTTCAAAAGTAAAGAGGAGGGAATAGAAATAAATTTCCCCTTATGGCACATGAAAACTTCACAGATGTTAATATCAATTATAAACAATATCAAATTATAGCACAAAAGAATGTAATATCAGAAAATGGTATTGCTTTTATGGTATACAAATTTTTGTCTGACATCAAAATCATGTGTGTATAACATGAAGGCATAATCACCCAACACCCTTTTTTGAGATTCAATGGAACCAAAAATGTACCTTTAAACATTAACAGAAAAGCTAAATAAGAACTAAAAATGTACCTTTAAGCTTAACTTTGATTCACAGAAGCAACTTCTTTTCCTTTTCTCCACCATAAAAATGTACCTTTATTTGGTTTCTGAAACTTTTTCTTGTTCCAGAGTAATGAATGCAATTTGTCAAAGGAATTGGAACTAAGAATAGCAATTACTCTCAGAGTAATGTAAGGGAACTTGTGGTTCACAGAATATTTTTGAAAAAAATCAGCTACACTCAGGGACCAAAAATGTAATATTACTCTAAAAAGATTGATAAATCATTCATCTATTGTTTCCAGAGTCATTGATATTCGATAATGAAAATTACAAATATATTTTTTTTAAAAACCAGGTCTACTAAATAACTGCTGACATCTTTATTTGATTGAATCAAACATGAAGTATGTTAATCCCATCATTTCCTGAAGATTATAAATAAACATAAGTTTTAGGAACAGATGGGTATTTCTGGAAATACACAAACGGGGTCATAGACTCATATGATCTTTTGTAAATAAAAGAACAGTTACAATATGCAATGTCTGTGGCACATAAAATATGGCTTGTGAAAAAGCATTGGGCATTAACTGTTGTTTGCTACATTTACAGCATAAATAAAGACAGTTTAAAACTAGAGTTATAATTTTTTTAAATGAAGAAACAATAGGAATGACCAAATCCTTCAAATACAAATTTTGGGGGAATCTGATTGCATCCATTTTATCAACCAAATGTGTAACCGAAGGAATCTCCCATTCCAATTCCTTCAAATTTCTATGGAATCCATGAACCAAACATGCCCTAGGGTGTTCTTGGGATTACAATAGAGCAACATGCTGATATAGAACAAGTGCCTCATATTGCAAGTGTGTTTTCATTTCTGCCAATACCTTAGTTTCTTTGTATCACATGCAATTATCAAATTCACAGGCTTTTATGATCAATAATTGTATATAACTGTAGTAAGCTGATGTATAGGCTAGAAATCTGTAATTTAGGCTGATAACTAGCTTGTGTATGGAGTATATATTGAGGATTCTTCTCAAAGAGAAGACCCATCTTTTTCCCAAAAAACTCTCCAAATTTTCAAATTAGTAGTGTAGTTTTGTGAGGGTAGAAGAGTAAATTTACATGCCAGTTTTTGAATTGGATCAAAATCCAGTGGAAACAGAAGCAGTTGTTTTGTTTGAAGTAGTTGTGCAATGAGCTGCAATATCAAAACAATAATAGACATGTTATAAACCACAGCTAACAAATTGGAATCGCGGATTCCGACAGAGTTGGAATTCGAGATTCCATTTCATGACATGTTTGGGAATTCAGTTCTGTTGGATTTTCTTGAAATTCCATTTTTAGTAATCGCTTCGTAGCCAAGAATTGGAATTGTGGATTCCAAGGGAATTGGAATTCAAGATTCCATTCAATGGTGCATTTGGTTGAAAATTTAGATAGAATTCAACTCTGTCAAATTCCTTCAAATTTCAAATTTAATGGACTTCAACCATTCTTGAGGGAAGGTGGTTTCAATTTCATTACTCTTTTTTTATTAAATGACCAAAATACCCTTGATCACAGTTAATTTGGACCTAATCTTTCCATTAAAAAAAACTACCAGAAAGCTTGTGATTTATCTTTCGTGATGAATAATGATATTGGAGAGAGATCACTCAGGCCCTGTGAGAAAAAAAAATTATTTCTTACAAATATTAGCAAAATATTATGTATAGCAAAAAATCCACAAATAATTAACAATCAAATTTAGTTTTTTTGCAATGTTCGTCCCTGGCACTAACGGTGTAAAAAAATTGTTTTAATAAAATGACTCATTAGTTTAAGTAAAATGGCTTTTTTTCCCTTATCTTCATCTTCTCAATCTCCTTCATCTTAAATCATAAAAACCTAACTAAATTCAATCAACACCCAAAAATTAAAACAAAATCAAGATCAAAAAAAAAATTAATCTAACCTAACAACCTTTAGTTTTCTGTTTTTTTCTTCAGTTTGTTGGTACCCTGGATCTTATTTCTGTTTTAGTTTAATTTTTGGATTTTGGTTTGATTAGAGTTTAAGATGGAGATTGAGTTGTCAAGTCCTTTACCTTAAAAACAAAAACAAAATACTTAGAATAAAAAACCACATTTTAAATAATTTGAAATGCATGGTTATTTTCATACCACATCTTTCTCGATCAAACCCTCCCTTTCTCTAATTTTTTGTAAACCTTTTAGCCCGTTCCGGAGAAATACTCTGCAACATGAAATTGCAATAAATATAATACGTGGGTGACAGAAGTTGGAGGGCAAAATAGTCATTTACCTCCCATTGGTTTTTGATAGTCATGTATTCTAATGTTTTTAACTGAGACAACATACTGCCTCTGTTGAATTGTATGAAGAAGATCCTACTAAAATTGCCCAAACCTGGAATTACATGTCGATAGCAGATTTGGTTAAAATTAGCCAAAAGGGTAAATGCGTAAATTGGGTCAAAATTTCAAAGTAAAACGGCTTAATAAGAAAAAGTTGAATGTACAATAATGTAGTAGAAAGAAAATGAAACTAGGATGCTATAAAACACTTACATAAAATGCCCATGGATTTGATTCATGATCAAATGCAAGTGTGTTTCTCTTGCTCTGTATCACATGCACTAAAACAAATTCTTTTGGAAGCTTTGGATCCATTGCACCATTACTCTAAAAAGATGGATAAATCATTCATATATTCGATAATGAAAATTATCTATTAAGTACTAATTGGAAACAAAATTATCTTCTATTAAAGTATTAAGATATGATCCAGTAACAAAAATTGCAATACCTGATCTCATTTCTTGTACAGATCACCAGAAAGAATGAAATGAAATCCATACTTTCTTAACATAATTGGAACAAGCATCACAGCTGGATGAAGAGGTTCCTGCAAAAAAAAAAACTGAAGTTTTTTAACAAAAACCCGATATAAAATATTTTTATTCACAAAAGGGAATTGACTATTACCACTTGATTTTAACATTTCAATCCACTAAAGGCCACACCATGAGGCATTGATGTCCTAATACGCTAAATAAAAGCACACTTTTTAAATAAATAAAAGAAATGACAAATATTTGTTGTAAAGAACTACGAGGGACACTAAATAAGTGCTGAAGGTGTTTTCCTTGCAATATTCAACATCTTTTTTTGATTGATTCAACATAAAGTATGTTAATCCCATCATTTCCTGCAGATAATATAATATATAAGCACAAGTTTTAGGAACAGACAATCAAAATCTGCTTCAAATATGGAAATTTTACACTTCAGCCTAACTTATATTAATTAGAAAGAAAACCTAACTTAATTAAACAGAAACACACAATTTTATATGCAGCTTTTAGTTAGAACCAAAATACACTTCTATTTCTAAATGAGTTAAAACTACAAACAATAAATTATCTTTCCCTAATTGAATCTCTAATAGCTCAATAATTTAATCCAATAACATTAAGATATTTCATCAAACACCTAAAGTGCATAGAAGAAGAATCTACAACTAAACAGTACTTTTTTGGGTTTCAAGACTATTTAAACTTAACTACTGCTTGACCAATCATCTTCGTTTGATGGGTATTTCTGGAAATACATAAACAGGGTCATAGAATACATAAATTTATCATACTCATCAATAAGCCTTACTGATTATAAAATACAAATGAAAATACAATGTAAAGTTTTGTCCCCCATTAAGTCTAAAACAAACAACAATTTTGTCATGATGTGATTAAGTCCAACTGAGCCACCATAACAGCATCTGTAATTTAAGCTGATAATTAGCTTGTGTATTGAGTATATATTGAGGATTCTTCTTAAAGAGAAGACCCATCTTTTTCCAAAAAAAAAAACCTTTCTAAATTGTCAAATTAGTAGTGTAGTTTGTGAGGGTAGAAGAGTAAACTTACTTGCCTTTTTGAATTATATCAGAATCCAGTAGAAACAGAGGCAGTCGTTTTGTTTGAAGTAGTTGTGCAATGAGCTGCCATATCAAAACAATAATAGACATGTTATAAACCACAGCTAACAAAATGGTATCGCGGATTCCAACAGAGTTGGAATTCAAGATTCCATTTCATGACATGTTTGGTTGATGATTGGGACGGAATTTAGTTCTGGGCGATTTTCTTGAAATTCCATTTTTTGTAATCGATTCGCAGCCAAGAATTGGAGTTGTGGATTCCAAGGGAATTGGAATTCGAGATTCCATTCAATGGTGCATTTGGTTAAAAATTCAGCCAAGAAGGTGTTTTTTGTGCAATATTCAGTATCTTTTTTTGATTGATTCAACATGAAGTAAGATAATCCCATCATATCCTGCAGATAATATATATAAGCACAAGTTTTAGGAACAGAGGGGTATTTCTGGAAATAAACAAACAGAGTTACAGACTCATATCTTTTGTAATTCAGTGGATAGAAGACGGAAATCACCCAACACCCTTATTTAAGATTCAATGGAACTAAAAGCGTATCTTTGTAGTAGCCTTGAAACAAAAAGCTCAGCATATAAATTGTTAAAAAAATCACAACACCTCTTGGAAGTATCCTCATTTGATTAAGATTCAAGCTTACTTTCCTTATGCCCCCAAAAATCAATTTTCAATCTCTAAAAATCCTGCAGTAAGAAAATTACAAACATAAGCCCATATATTTTTGTAGCAATGACAATCAAAATCTGTTTCAAATATGGAAATTTTACACTTCAGCCTAATAACGTATATTAATTATAGGCAACTCTTAGTTAGAACCAAATACACTTCTATTTCTAATTGAGTTAAAACTACAAACAATAAATTTTCTTTCCCTAATTGAATCTCTAATAGCTCAATAATTTAATCCAATAACATTAAGACATTTCATCAAACACCTAAAGTGAACAGAAGAAGAATCTACAGCTAAACAGTACTTTTTTGGGTTTCAAGACTATTTAAACTTAACTATTGCTTGACCAATCATCTTCGTTTGATGGGTGCCTTCTATTAGGTGACCTGGTTCAAAACACCAGCAAAACAAAAAAAAAAAATGGACGAAAAATTGAAAGAAAAAAAAGAAACCCAGAAATCGTTGGAGAAAACACACAATTAAACTCACAATCTAGAAATCAGAAGAGAAAGACTTGTACTCTTTTTCTTGATCGATGATGACGGTGAACCAAACTAACATCGGAACCAGACGTCATACTACAACTACACAGAATAAAGGTACAACCCAATAGCCCGATGAATACAGTGATGAAGGGAGACCTGAAGAATCTTAGCATAATTTAAAATACCTAACAAAAACAAAAACGAAATCAATAATATACAAAAAAAAAAAAAAAAATCAAGAACGTTACCTAACAGAGGAAGAAGGAAACGCAGAGGATTGTTGAACGCCGGAGAATGAAAGAACGAGGAAACGGTGGTGTCGATAGAAGAAAAAGAGAGGAAGGTGATACCTCCAGATAAAACCCTCTTCTTCAAACAAACATGTATGTATGGTGTTTGGAGAGAAGCGAGAGGGATGAGTGAAGAAGCTTATTTTAAGCGCGAATACACCGACCCAACCCTTTCGACTTCCGAGTTCCGATTTCTAACGGTTCTTTTTATAAAAAAATTCCTAAATTACCATACTAACAAAATAATATTTCCATTAACTTTTGTTTTTTACTTTTTTAAACCACGTTTTTTATTCTATACTTTGACCCATCTTTTTTAATTTTGATTATAAATTTGTTCTAAACTTTTTTTTACAACTTTCCTTTTATATATTTCCTAAAATTTAGGCTTTAAAAAGAATATTTTGTTACAGCTTTACAAAATTTGATTTTTTAGATTTCTTTCATTTTATAAATTATATTTTTTAATGCGTTTTCTATATTTTACAAAAATTATTTTTTACATCTTTGTTTTTTTCAACTTGTGTTTAAAAAATTAGTATTCTTTAGAAAATTATTTTTTACAAAGATTTATATTTTCGTTTTTATGCATATATTTTTTAAAAAAAAATGTGTTTAAATAATTATTATTTTTAAAATTTTATTTACTATTTTTTACATATTCGTTTTCATGCGTCTATAGTTATAAAAACATGTAGGATTTGTGATTTTTTTTCTTGACATATTCGTTTTTAAAAACCAAAAGAGAATCTTCTTAACAAGTACATTTTTGTGTTACAGTTAAATGTAATCCTACTATAGATTAAGTCATGCTTATTGTATAAACTATATTTTCCACAAGATATATTATGTCTCATCCAAATTCCTTTGTTTTACAATTTTGGAATGGTGAAAACATTTTAAATAATTCAAAATGATGTTCATCCTTAACTCAAGTAATAGAACATTTAAAAGACCTCTTGTTTTCATAATCTTTAAAATATCTACCAATACATAACTAAATAATATATAACTAAAGAAAAAGAAAAATGTTGAAATATTTAAAATATCCAAAAATTCAATCACTATCTAGACTTCAACAATCATCCAAAAGAACCAAAAATTATGAATCATTCAAAATTCAAAACTCAGAACCCTCACTCTGAACCTATCATGAATTATTTGTTTTCTTTTCTCTCACAATTATTTCTTCTCTAGTACCATTATGTTTTTACATTATGTTGTTGAGTTTATATCCCCGTCATCGAGCCACTACTCACATTGGCACTCTCCGTCTGGACCGACGTGTGTAGTTCCATAATCATGGTTTGTCGATTGCTCGCCGCTCTTGCGAATTGTTTTTCATACTCGCTATTTTTTGGTTATCATCGCTCCTCTTTTTTTTAGATATTTTATCTTTATTTGTTAGAAAACATAGGTTGAAATCTACTCTAATGGTGTAACGGAACATAGAAAAATAAAAGTTTATTAGCCTATTGAGTATAACCAAGAGACGAGTGACTTACACAACAATTTAAGAGTTATTGATGGTTATTTTGTAACATCAAGCAAGTAATAGTTAGATATTTAATTTATATATAATATTTACTAAAATTTAAATAAAATTTGAACCGAAAAGAAAGTTGTCAATTAATTATATATGTCGTCATTAGGGATGATATCGGTCCAAACCCATATTGAACTGTATCGAAAACCGAAGAACCAAGAACCAATTTAGTGGAAAATGGAGGATTGAAAAGAGGATTGGATACCTCGTTCCCGGTTCTAGTTTGATTCTACAAGTAAGTGTGCTCTTTAAGGATGTGCGATTTTGGACCCGACCCAAGCTGGACTGAGAACCGAAGAGATTTAAAACAGAGAGACCATCACCCATATACAAAAAATAGGAAGAGGGACGATGATATAAAAAGGCACACACAAAAATCATAACGCCTCTTGGAAGTATCCTCATTTGATTAAGATTCAAACTTTTGTTTCTTATGCTCCCAAAAATCAATTTTCAATCTCTAAAATCATGGTAAGAAAATTAAAAACATAAGTCTAAATTTTATTTGTAGTAATGACAATCAAAAACTTTTATTTGTAGTAATGACAATCAAAAACTGTTTACACTATGCAAATTATTCAATTTATCCTAGTGTATATTAATTGGAAAGGAAACCTAACTTAACTAAATAGAAACACACACCGTTATATGCAAATTTTATTTAGAACTAAAATACGCTTCTATTTCTAATTGAGTTAAAAACAATCATTATAGGTTTTCTAGCATTCTATAGAAACTAGTTATGGCAACGGAAGCAATATAAAATCATATGTGTACATGCACCCTAAAGGATCTTGGTTTATTCTATTATAGCAACCTAATTATGAAAAATAACGGAAGAATTACTAACCTCTAGATGTTCCTGATCTTCTTGATATTTTGGAAGACTCCTCAACTGAGATTTGATCACAACTACCTTTGCTTTAGATGAAGAGGACAACCACATTTCCTATAGATGAAAAGGACCAAGAATCCCTTTATGTTTCATATCCAAAACTCCAAGAGAGTACCAAATATGTAACACTTGTTCCATGTAATATTTTTTGGGGTTTTATGCATGTACTCGGCGAGTTGGTTGCTCCAACTCATTGAGTAAAGACTATTAGAGTATGCGGGATTCGGGGTCTACTCGAAGATTCGGAAGGCCCAACTCGACGAGTAGGCGCTGTAAAGAGAAAACCCTAATTTTTGGGTTTGCACCTTATTTAAAGAATATACTCCACCTCTTGTGGCCTCCCTTATCACCCTACTAGCCAAAGAAAACCCTAATTCGGCCTTATACCTTATTGAGTGAGAGTAAGAGTTTTTGTTAGCAAATTTGGGGTATTTGTGAATGATTCTAGAGCTTTAAGAGGATGGAGCAAGGAGAGAAGTATCAGATCCAACATATACTCTGTATTGGTCATCATCTTGAGGTATAAAGTCGTCACCTTGATTTCTAGTTGATTAGATCCCTTCTCTTGAAAGTAAATAGCCATTTTTGGGGCAAAATGGAGTCAAACTCATATCTGGACCTATCACAAGGATATGGTTCCAGATCTGGACCCCTCTAGGTCCCCAATGGCATAAAGTTGCTCACTTTGTATAGTTTAGCCCCTTTCCATGCACAACAACCTTGTAAAAAGCCTAGTTTCGATGTTATGGCCTTGAAGGGCCTTGCATGCACGTAAAGTTTGCAACTTTACGTGATATATGCACCAGGAGAGTTTGGATCTAGAGTTTGGTGCCTTAGATCCCATTGAAAAGGTTGAACATGAAAGGGACTGAAGGAACTCATGAAGTCCCTTAGCTGACTTGACAAGTCAAGTAGGTTTTTCCCATTTTCAGGATCTGGGTGATTTCGGTGATGAATTAGAGTTTTCGGTCTGCTTGAGTTTTCGATGTGATTGAGTTTTTGATCTGCTTGAGTTTTCTGTCTTCTGGACATTGAGGAACTCAACGAGTTACATAGGTAACTCGGCGTGTTGAGGTCAACATGGACTGTGGTTGACCTTGAGGGTATTTATGGTATTCCATGATCATGACAAGTTAATTACATGATAGATATAGACGGTTGAGTTGGAGCAGAAGGTGGGATAAATTGGGACTTAGCTTGTCAGTTCAACATTCGAGAGGTAAGTCTTCTCACCATACCAATGGGTCCAAGGCGCCAAAGTCGGCTCATTTTATGATATGTGGATTGTCGATTGATTATGCATTATGTTAGTATGGCATTGTATGGAAGACCCCGGGGGTCCTGTGGTAGTAGGCTAAGACCACGTAGGGGTTCCTGTGGAATTTGGTATAAGACCTTGGAGGGTTTCAATGACATCCTAGTATATTTGCATGATTAGTTGTATGATATTTTCTTGGTAGGAAGACCATGTAGGGCTTCCCATGGAAAAAAGACCATGTGGGGGTTTCCCATGGCAGAAAGACCATGAGGGGGTTCCCATGGCAAGAAGACCATGTAGGGGTTCCCATGGCAGGTAGTAAGACCACGTGGGGATTCCAGTGGCACCATGTGTAAGATCCTGGAGGGTTTCCATGGCTTCCTTATATGATGTATGCATGGCTTATATGATTATGTAGCTTTTATAGCTAATGTGATATATGTTACGTGGATTGTATGTGGGGTATGCTTTGGGGAACTCACTAAGCATTAACTTACAGTTTGTGGATTTGTTTTAGATACATCTGAGTCCAAGGGAAATGGCAAGGCTTGATGGCTCAGCGTGCACTCTCTCTCAGGCGTTTTATGGGACACTCTGATGATTTGAAATAAATTGTATTTGATGTGAATTTTGAAAATAATTGTATTTAGATTTCATGGTTCGTGGGAAGTATTTTGATTAATTAAAAATGAAAATTTTCTTTTGAAAAATTGGTCATTACAAGTTGGTCTCAAAGCCTTGGTTTAAGGGATTCAGGCACACCCTCTGGTATGTCGGGACTCAAACTAAGGAAATGGTAGAATTGTTTTCAAAAATAAAAAAAAATGAAAGTTAAAACTTTTAAAGAATGGAAAATAGGAGAGTGTGACGCGCGTGATCGGCCAAGCCAAGTAAGTAGTTCCCCAATATGTTAGTCATGTTATACTGATGCTTGAGCTATGATAATCATATGGATCTTGCTATGTGTATGCTTTTAAAATTGTATACGGTTAGGAGCTTATAGCCTTAGAATGATTGATTTTGCCCTATTTCCTGTTCCTCATCTGGTTGTGGACCTAAAGGTAGAATCTATTATTTGAAAGTCTATTTGATCATTTTCTATGTATAATTTGCATGCATAAAGGAAACCTGTTATGATTGGTAGGATTGATGTGGGTAGAGCAAATCTTAGGATCGCCTAGGATTTGAGATATGTGGTAGTCTGTGGGATATGATTTGTTTTGGGATGAATCGGAGTTATCAGGTCGAGCTTTAGGGAAGGTACAAGTAGTTGTGGAAGGTAGTATTGGGCCCATGTTACTGAAATCACATCACCTGTACCCAAACCAATGTTAGATCTGAAAGATCTGAGGAGGACCAATATGGAAAGATCCCCTATTTGGCTGTCCTGATCATTTTGGTTTATGGCATTGCAGTTCTGTATAGTGGTGACACGATTTAAAGTGGGGGGTGGGGGGGATCAGGATCAGGATCTGGATCTGGGGTTGGGTCATGTGACACTACCGAGTCCACGGACGAGAGGCTGCGTGAGCTTATTGCAACAGAGGTTACGAGGGGTATCCTTGACGTTACCCCAGTTATCTTCGGGACGGTCAAGGAGGGTATGATGAAGATTATGGAGGAGAAGCTCGGGGCATTTAGAGCCAAGATTGTTGCAGGCCAAGTTTAGGCCCGAACTCCCTCGTTCCGGGAGTTCAAGGCATGCGGAGCGCCAGAGTTTTTCGGGGTTAGGGACCCTATTGTGAGTTGACGATGGGTGGCGGATATCGAGAACACCCAGCGCACGAGTTCTTGCACTGATGTGATAAAGGTGGGTTTTGCTTCATGTATGTTGAGAGATAGAGCCCAAGACTGGTAAGGCGAGGTGACTAGTCAGGTGGGAGCAGCCGGTGTGGCCGAGTTTGTTCAACGATTTGATTTGGAGTTTGCACCAAACATTGAGGTGCAACGGTTGGTGAGGGAGTTTCAAGAGCTCCAACAGACCACCGAGACTATGGCGGAGATCACCACCAAGTTTCGGTAACAAGCATTGTTAATCCCACAGTATGCTACCAATGAGGACATGAGGAGGAAGTGGTATCATTCCATGTTGAGGGATGATATCTGGGAGTTTGTGAGCTTCATAGGGTGCAAAACCCTGAATGAGAAGGTGGAGAAGGACTGTGAGCGGGAGATGGAGTTGCACTTCGACACCAAGTGGAAGCCTGAGCAGGCACAGACAGCGGTAGGTCAGGCTAAAAATCATAAGACCTCTGATTCATCTAGTAGGGGCCAGTAGGGTCGTGGCCCGTGTGCCAAGTGTGGGATATTTCATGGTGGAGTTTTCCGGGGGATAGGCCCCGCATGTTATACATGCGGTTAGTAAGGCCACGTGAGCAGAGATTGCCCCAAGAAGGGCTTGATTAGTTTTCACTACAACCAAACTGGCCATAAAAAGGCCAATTGTCCGAGGTCGTAGGGAAGGGGAGGAATAGTGGCAGCGCCTGTGCTCACCACAATGAGGATTGATGACGACCGCCCTGCTAAGGCGGATGCTCCATCGGTGAAGAGCCGTGCATTTTAGTTGACTACTGAGGAGGCTCGGGTGGCTGGTATATATTTTTGTCTCTCTGCTCCAGATTTATTGCGTTGTTTATGTATACATTGTGCTTATGTGTAGGGACCTTCTTGGTCAATGGTATGTTTGCTCATGTTTTGTTCAATTTGGGAGCTACCCGATCGTTTATGTCTCTTTTGCTTAGTAAGAAGTTTTGGGATGCGCTGGGAACTTTGGATTCCCCGATTGAGGTAGAGATTGCGGACGACTACACCATGAGTGTGGCAAGGGTGTATTGGGACTGTGTCCTAAATGTTCTTGGAGAGAGGTTTCGTGTTGATTTAGTCCTGATACTATTGAGAGGGTTGAAAGTGATTGTCGGGATGGACTGGTTGGGGGCCAAAGGGGCCATTATCGATTGTGAGCACCAGATGGTGAGGGTTCAAACCCCAAGTGGGGGAAAACTGGTTATTCATGGAGAGAGGTCCTCGTAGGGACTGACCCTCTACTCAGCTGCGAGAGTTAAGAGATTTTTGCAGCAAGGTTGTATCAGATATATGGAATATATCTCGGATACGAGGGTTGAGACCACGACATATGTGGGTAGTGTGTTGGTCGTACATGAGTTTCAGGTTGTCATTCCCGAGGAGTTACCGGGACTGCCTCCAGAGAGGCAAGTGGAGTTTCGTATTGACTTGGTGCCCGGTGCCGCTCTGATAGCGAATGCACCATACCGACTAGCACCGCCCGAGATGCAGGAGCTACCTACGCAGCTTCAGGAGCTGCTAGATCGAGGGTTTATTCATCCGATCAGTTCCCTGTGGGGAACTCCGATCCTGTTCGTGAAAAAGAAGGATGGATCCTACAGGATGTGCTTTGATTACTGAGAGCTGAACAAACTAACGGTGAAGAACCATTATCCATTACCTAGGATCGATGATTTGTTCGATCGGTTGCAAGGTGCATCTTGGTTTTCCAAGATTGATCTTCGGTCGGGATACCATCAGATGAGGATTCGAGATGATGACATACCAAAGACAACTTTCAGGACTCGATACGGGTACGATGAGTTCGTGGTGATGCCATTTGGGCTCACCAACGCCCCAACAACGTTCATGGATCTCATGAACAGAGTGTGCAGACTGACGTTGGATCGATTGGTGATCGTTTTTATTGATGATATCCTAGTCTATTCTAAGACCAAGGAGCAACATTTGAGAGAGGTATTGGAGACTCTGAGGGTGGAGAAGCTTTATG